ACTTAAGGAGTCTAGTGCTTGTTCTTAGTAAAATCTTTGAGTTAACTTGATTTTTCTTTCTGCTCCAAAATTGGTCGAAGTGATCGACGGAGAGAGTTGTATTGAATATGAATTTATACTAATTATATGAGATCAAAAACTTATCAAATTAGATAGTATAAATTTTAATCAGGTATTTAAGAAATAATAAATTAAAAAAAACTTTCTAATTTGCTAAATTGATTATATATTTATCAAATAATCTGACTTAGACCCAAATGCCAATTTTGTAAATCTGATATAACTCAACAAAACTGTAATTTTTAAAATTATTTTACAATTAAGATAAAAAAAAAAATAGCTAAAGCTCGAGAATATTATATAAAACAAAAATTCTTTTATAACTGTATTTAAATTTATTATAAATATTACCAGTTGATCTGATCTAATTATAATTCATCCTATTTGGTCCTAAACTACAATTTGATCCAGTTTTTTTTAAAAGACTGCTAGTCTTTGAACTAAGATAGATTAGTTAAACTAATTAATAACTCTATTTCTAATACCTCTAACTATCTTAACTCAAAAAAAGTAAGTTACTAGCATTTTTTAGTTATTGTCTCTTCAAAATATAAGTTTAGATTATATTATAGATATTCTAAAATTCAGATAAGATTTAAGCAATATTTCAAAAATCATAGTATTATTTGTTTAAACTAATTTTAATTATTAGCTCTAATTTATTAATAATTTGAATTACAATTTTATTATATTATATAATTGTGATATTTTGAGCTATTAATCTAAAAGAAAATATATATAAATTGAATAATAAAGATAAGTATTGTAATTCATAAAAGAGTATTTTAAAATTTAAAAATATGTTAAAAATCTATACTCCAGACTTTAACAGTTCCTATTTTCTAGTTATATGTGAATAATGAATTTATTAACTTTATATGAATAAATTAACTACAATATTAACTGAATACTAAATCAACAGATATTATAATACCAAATATGAATTGATATGAACTATTAAATAGTTTTATCACAATATTCCAAAAATCAGGTTTTCAAAAATTAATTATTACTCTACGAGATGCAATATTCAAAGTCTGCTTATGATTAGTAATTATGATTACTAATCATCACAGACTATGAATATAGTATCTCATAAGGTGACAATTAATTTTTGAGAATCTGATTTTCAGGATATTGTGGTAAAACCCTATTAAATTTCTTAAAATAAAATATATTGATACAACTAATTCTAGTTATCTTGTTAATTAATGACTATATAATAAAACCTATTTAGTCTTCAAGAGCTATATACAAGTCTTTGACTATATTTTTTTTATTATATCTAAATACATGTAATGCCAATTTTGTGTCATATCTTACAGGTTAAAAACCATATTTATTATCTTATTAGTGACTTATTGTAATAATACTAAATTTTTACATTTTTGAGATTTCTGTATATCAAAATATATTTCATATAAATTTAAATTTAATTTGAAAAAATAATTCAATTCAAAAATGATAGTGATATTTTTTTTTTTTTTTTTTTTTTTTGGGCATAGGCACTAATTTGGCATGGAGCATGGGCATGGCACTTGTGCCTGGCCTAAAAATGCCAGGCACGTTTTGAGGCACCAGTATTTGATGTGCCACTAGCACTAGTACCCGGCATGGGTATTTGCAGAACCCTAATTAATATCATCGAATATTATGACACACATCTGAAGTTACGGAATAAACCAATATTACAGCATATATCTAACATTACGACAAACGTCAGTTGTAGCTTTTTGACATATCGGTCATGTCCTGAGTTACTGATCAATTTTCTGCACCTATACCTAGTATATTAGTCTAAAATCTGCGAAAATCGGAAAGCCATGATTTTCACATGACAACATGATCTGCAAGGTCACATCTTTTTACTATTTTATAGATTCTAAAAATATGTAATCGTTTATAGAAACGATTATAATGATTAGACAAAAATGAGAATTGTTTCTAATTCGATTAACAATTAAACCGATTATTATAGATTCGATTATCATCCATAGTCAGATATCTAATATAACAGAGGATTAATCTAGATCTAGCATGGAAAACATTTTTTTAAAAAATTTCCAATAACTCAAAATTTTACATAGAAAACAGCCTTTCGTGTTATAACTAGAAAAATTCCTTGCAAAATTTTTATATAAGCTATGCTCGCCCTGACCCTAACTAAATCGAAGCAAAACTTTTTGTTTTGATTTTACGTTACACCTAAATTATGGTCTACTATAGGTAGTGATGGGCATGCGCGAGATTTTTAATATGATCCCCAATTCAAGCCAGCTGGCCCGCATTAACATAATTTTAAGAAACCCACGATTTAATCCTATCCTGCGCATCCCGCGTGAGATATTTTGAAAAACCGTGATTTGCCCATCACTAACTATAGGTGTGCGAGATATAAGTGTGTAGCATGGTGCAATAGATGCATTTATTCTATTAAATAATATTTTATATATTTTTAAAATTTAAATATTTAATAAAAAAAATTAAATTTTTTTTTATAAATATTTATATTAAAAGGTTATCTAATTTTTATAAAATTTTAGTAAATATGTGAAATATTACCACGAACATTTTTTCTTAGTAAGTAAAGTACAATTTTCATAATAATAAAAAAATTTTTATATGTAGTGAAATTCTTACTTCGATTTTATAATTATTTTTTATAATTTTGCAAATTGATAAAATAGAGTATATATATAACTTTATATTAATATAATTTTAGAACATTAGTTATAAATTTATCAATATATCTTATATATATGTGATGTATCAGAAGTGATAAAATTACCTATATGTTTTTATTATTATTATTTTTTTTTTATAGATTTTATAAGTTTTGTATACAAATTTAAGCAAGAATTTTTTATTTTTAGGGTTAGGGAGATTTGGATTTTTTACTGTTTTAGGGACGTTGAACATATCGATTAATTCGCTAGTTTGAGATATTGAATATATAAATTTAAGATTATTATCATAAATAATGATATCGATATGATATATTTATTAAGACTAAAAATGATGATTTGATCAGAATTGTGAAATTGCTTATACGAGTTTTTATCAATTGCTTACATAGACGGTTTATAAGTTCTTATCAATTTTATTTCGTATAAAGTAATATAATTTATAATAACTAATTTCAATTATAACAGAATTCTGACTGTACACTTTCGTTCGGCTAACAAATCAATAACCCAAGAAAAAACCCCAGGCCGACATTATAGAAGAATTTTTGAAGAAAACCTTATTATAAATCATGATAATTCTTTTAAAAATTTAGGGTTAATGATTTCATAATTATCAAAAAAAAAAAAAACATATACTGTAAAAGAAGAATAATGGAAAAGCTAAAATAAATAACTATTTGATTATTGTATTGTACATCTTTGTCTTTCATTAAATCTTAGACCTAATATAAGTTCAACATCTTCGTTAGCTTGTTCCCGTTCATTGGCTTTTTGTTTTTTTTTCGCTTCTTGCGGAAAGTAAAGTTTTAGAAAATTCATTAGAGATACGTCCAAGTTGCCTATAAAAGAAATCAGAAAATAGAATAAATGAATTAATGACTACTTTTTTTTTTGTTAACTAATTAATTAATAATATTTGCACCTTGATCTGCATCGTATATAGCATTTTTAGCTCGACAAATTGGACAATTTTGTGTCCCTTTACGTCCAGCTTTAACTAAACATCGATGACAAAATACATGTCCACAATGTAAACGAATAGGTTTCCAAGAAATATCTATTGAATTATACATCAAGATAAAGATTTTTATTAGAAAAATTGTAATACAAATATGATAGTTTAAAATATGCTTGAAAAAAGCTTACTTAAACAGATGGGGCACGTGTAATCATCGAGTTGAGGAATAATTTTTGACAATTGTTCCTATTAAAAATAAGAAAGTATTTATATTATTAATTAATAAAATAATATTTTCTCATAAAATAGTTTTAACTTATCATATATGATAAAACATAAGGTCTGATTGGAACATAGTAAGAAAATTACCATTTCAAAACAAAGGGGTTTAAGCAAATCTTCTATGTATAATTGGTTAAGTATTTGTAAATTTTGTCCAGAACTAAAGAATAATTGAACAGTTTGAAAAGCGAAACAAACAAAATTAACGATTAAAAAAAAAAAATTAAAAATTAAAAATTAAAGATTACATAAAGCATGTTTTCTTGTCATGTTTTTTAAGAATTTTTGTTACAGCGGTTTGGCTAAGGTACTGAAATTGCTTAATTGAAATCAAATTGCTATTAAGCTACAAAATGTTGAATAGTATCAGATAATCATTGGTGTCATAAATATTAAACACATAATTAACATGGTTATGTACCTTTATGAATTCTTTAAAAACAATTTTGGATGATCGATTTTTTAATTGTTTAATCTTTAATTAAGAATAACAATTAGTATTGGTTTTAAAATAAAATTTTGTCAATATAACAGGTTGTGATATCGCAAGTTAATATTTAAAAAAAAAAATTAAAATTCGGATTAGTTAGGGTTCGAGTTAGTATTAGGGTTAGAGGGGAAAATTAATTTTTAATTTTTTTCTTAATTTGTTCGGTTTGTTACACAAGATCATGTGATCTAATTGGTCGGTTCATGTTAACCTGCAATATATCAACTTGCGATATTTAACAACATCCTTAAAATAAAATACGATATTTAAAATAATGCTCAATCATATACATGATAACATTTACCAAATTGGATTTCTCTATTTCATAGATAAACCAGAATAATTGTTTTTGAGCAATTCTCCAATCTCTTTCTTTTCGATCTAGTTC